CCCTCCGAAACCGATAAAGGCACACAAAAACGTAATTCATTGGATGGACCACCCCGAGGCGGTATTGCAGACCGAAGACTGAATGATGAGACTCTCTCCTTACTGCATGCTTATCTACATGACTACTTGAGTCGATCGGTTTCATCAACTTACAATACACTTTACTAAGGGAATTACTGTTCGTTATGTCGGTGCTTTGCGATGCTCAGGATGGCGCGAGCCCAGTTATGCGTTCAAAATCTAATGAAATACCCGTCTGAACACGACTGTCATCAGAAGCTGAATAATATCAGGTGTACGGTTCTCAGATGAATCTCCAGAAAACTGTGTTCAGGGCAGTGTTCACACCCGACCAAAGAGCCAAATTCGTTGAGGCCAGACAATGTACCTCTTTAAATGTCTTCAGATTTTGCGGGAGTCCTGTGGGATAATGAAACAAATTCCTTATCTTATGAAATGTCAACCGAAATTCTGAAATATTTTTGCGATTTTAACATTGATTAGGTATGGGTGCAATTATGATTATCCAATAGCCTAAGCGCGATATATATATCAGTCACGCTAGGATGTTGGCTTTTGAACGAGATTCTTTCTTACCGCTTACAAGGCGTATTGTCTGCAAACCACAGCCAACTCATGTAGTATGTATTTTTCTCATCTATCTTAACTGTTGTTATAAATAGGACATTATTCTATGGTAAATATGAACAAAAGTACTCTTCCTTATACTCGTTTTGTAGAACATAATGTTTTCTTAAAAATTTACATTTGAAAAAAATGCATGTTTCGATTTAGAAAGGTTATAATAATGAAACTACTTACGTGAAATGTGCATTCCTAAAACAACGTATCTATCCCTTCATCAATGCCGCTTATAAATTATGCAAAATGGCCCGCGTTCATTGCAAAATGTTAATGAGAACTATGTGAAGTCTTCTCTATGCCACGAGGAAAAACCTACTTTTCCTTACACAGAATATACACAACATGTGGGTTTGGGACCTTGAATTCAAGAGTAACGTCCGGTAGGGTTCAAAATAATTCGGCAATTCAGAAACTTTTTTTTAAAACCGAAGGACAATCCATCTTCAAATATAATACTCAAAGAAAGCTTAATTTGCTACCAAATGAGTTAAACCAAGGATATCTTTGTTCATATTTTTATAGATAGAGAATCTGCTGTAATTTGTAATTCGAGCGTGGCGAGCAAATACCTCTGCATTGTGCTCCACGGAGTGGGCGCATCACCGGCAACTTATGCGTGTGAATTAGTTTATAGTGAAGTCCATTTGTGCAGTACTTACTGCACTCTATTCCCTCTCTCACCGACCTTGCTCTGATGACAAAACAGTTTCGAGATGACTGGAAGTTGGTGTGGACGCAGTGGCTGACAAAGCCGAACAGCTCGTCTACGCGGGCCACACACACCCTTGTCTAAATCCCCGTACCAGTTTCAGTCCTCACATGAGTGAGTAAGCTATGAAGGCAATATGCAGTAAATTCCCTGTCTCATGAAATGTCAACCGAAATTAAATCCGTACAAAGTATTTAAGTAGCGTTGCGACACTGATGATCGTTCAACCTAATCTCAAGATAATCCAGTCGCGTCAGGATACTAGGTTTGAACGAGCTTCTCTATGACTGCCTGCGATAAACACAGTCTGTTAAAAATAGGTACTTGATTAGTATATTTTTTCTCATTAGTTTTCGATATCTTTATGAATTTCAATATATTTCATAGAAAAAAAAATGCACAAAATATCTTTTCTGGCACTCGTTTGGTAACATATGATGCCTTCTTCAAAGGTTGTACTTGAAAAAGGGCATCCTTCGATTCTAAAAAGTTTCTAATATTGAGATTTGTTACACTCATGAGAACTATCTGACCCCTTACTCATGCCCTAAGGAAACGCGTACTTTTCCTTAGACAGAACATATGCAACACGTAGTTTAGAAACTTTGAACTCCACTGTAACGGCCTATGGAGTTCAAAATTATTCGGCAATTTAGAAACTTTTTAAAACGAAAAGTACCTTTTCGTCAAGTATAAAATCGAATAAGGCGTGATTTGATATTAACCTTGTGCATAAAAGAATATTTTGTGCATGTTTTCTATAAAGGATATTTAAATCTATAAGCGCATTGAAAATCAATGAGAGACGTGCCTAGTACTTAAGCGGCTATGTTATACAGAGAATACATGTTACAGGCTGTCAGAAAGAATCTCTTTCAAGAGCTGGCATTCCGAAGTGACTAAAATATCCTGAAATAAGGCTGCAAGATAATCAGTACTACAACCTTACTTAAACACTTTGTTCGAATCGAAAAGGCATTTCAGGATTTCAGTTGACATTTATGAGACAGAGAATCTACTGTAACGAAGTGAATCATTCCAGCCTTGCCCTCAGTCCTTAGAGAAAGACCGATTTATCTCGGGCCACAGTTCATAGCGTGTCATGATAAAGACGAGCTTAGCAGCGTTATTTTTGCGAGCAGTCACGCTGTAGGACGGGTTGACTGTATCGACCTCTTTCGTAAGTCTCACATGCCCCTTATCAACGCTTCGAGCCCGGTAACCAGCTGATGACGGTATTACACTAAGTGGTTAACACGGCACGAAAGTTCACGTCTGGCCATACCATCAGATGTCCTGTGTGTGGCAGGAGTTATGAGCTCTTTATGGACTCTGAACTGTCAGATAAACGCGATTCGTGATACACTCTGACGCCCGTTGTATGCCTGCGCCTCTGCAGAACAGCCGTTGTGGGGGTAATCATCGAAAGCAATTGGGCGCTTCTTGAAAAACTGGCGTTGGCCCTGGCCAGCGAACAAGCGAAAGCTCATATGAACTTATCTTGGCCCAGCTGGGCCTTTTTGATCACTGTAGGTTTTGAACAAATGAGTGAGGTAGATGTTGCCAAGTCCTCTCTTGATATAATCAGAATGATGTAGTCCTCCTCATGTTCTACGGTGGGGTTACTGAGAGTGAGTAAGATCAACGCTTCACAGATTCTCC